ATATTTTTCGGCGTCCCGCCGTTGACTAAATTTCCCTTTACCCTAGCATTAGGATAAGGAGTCGCCGCACTCCATATTAGGTTTCCCGCCGCGGAATACCTATTTTACCCTCTTCAATTCAATTCAATTTCGACATAGAAATAGGAGCCGCCGCACTCCACGTAAGCGCTTCCATATGAACGCTTATTCCCCATTGAAACCTTGACCACAATCAAGAAGTTTCTCTTCCTCCCTTTCAAGGGGAACTACGATTACTTTGATTCCATCTCCTACCTCGGATACGTAGGCACAAGATGCGAATCTTGGCGAGTAAACTTAGGACTAACCCTTAGGTCTTTCTTTTCACCTTTAACCTTTAGCATATACCCTTAAGCAAATAAGTTAGCAAAATAGCAAACATAAAACAAGAGGTTCCTGTAGAGTACTACAGAAGTTTAGGGTGATAATACCTTCCCTAAGCTTAACCAACCTCTTACCTAGATCTCTCCCCGCATTGTGTTTACGATGCAAAAATTAGGTTTTTCCTTTCTTTGACCTTTCCTTCGGATAAATTAAAGACCGGTTGTGAACTAAAGATGCGATTTAAATTAATTAATAATTTGATATCCTATTCTAACCGTAACAGAAAATGGCGACTTCACTGGGGAATTCTAAAGTGATGGATCAACCGGTGCAAGCACGACCAGTTATCACTTTAGGATGAAACGGTAACATAGGATCGACACGGCAGTAGGACCAGGTAAGCGACAAGTGCTTGAGCTTTCGGGATATTCCTTTAAACAAAGAGATCGAGCGAGATCTTCAGGAATTGTAGGAAAATATACAGGAAAAAACAAACATCCGGAAGAACATCGAATGAACTCTGAAACACACCAGAGATACTCGGAAAAACATCGAATGAACTCTGGGATGCCTCCCGAGACAATAGGAAAACATCTATAGGAGCACGAGATGACGACAAGGCTCTGACGATACATCCGAAACATTTAGGAAAACATTAAATGTATGGGAAAAGTTTGAAGACATATCTGGAAGAACATCAGATACTCTAGATACCAGATGTTAGAATTCAACCATAACCTATGGAGAATTATGCTCAATATTGATCTCAAGATTGTTAGCAATCATGTAATGATAATGAAAAAGATTAAGAAAGAAAGAAAAGAATGTAACGATGGAGAAGAAGATGAATATTTTCTACAGAGTTCTCTATCTGCCCGCAAACTGTGAAAATCTCTTATTCACTTGCAACTGCAAACTGTGAATACAATGACTAGTTCTAGATTCTTTACAAAATAAGGGTTTATCCCTATTTATAGATTTAGGTTAACTTGCACCCCAAATCAAAACTCAAAACTATAAAAGCCCAAAATAGCCAACATTGCTAAAATAGGTCTAAGTCGAAATCATGTGTGAAAGCAATCTATTTTGACACTTCAACACACTAATACAACTCGACACATAGATATTTTGACACAAAAATTATATTTTCAACATCCATGATATTTCTCTTTAGGTTTAGAGTAATCTTCAATCATAGGAATAATTGATACACCGGTGACTATCTTCTTGAAAGATATAACTAGTTTGGAGTTGAGACTCTCTAAAATTGTAGGCATGCTTCCAGTGGAAAGAGAAAGGAGAATTCCCTCTTCCTCCCTTCTATTTTGACTTTCTTACAACTCTGACCCTGCATATCATCATCTTTGTTATGGGATCTATCATTTGCAAAAGCTAACCCTAAAGGTGGAAATTCATGCAAACACTAGCAGAGCATAATTTTTTAGAACATATTTATTTATCAAATCATTTGTATAATAATATATTATTATTTCTCCACATAGATTAAAAGTGATCAAATTAACAAATATTTATAAAAGTAGTTCTATGATTATGAACTTGTATTAATTTGTTCCCATTATGATATGTCTTAGGTGAAAAGTGACAACTAATTTCTTTTTGAAAAATAATTTCTTTAAGGTTTTTCTGATTTTTATTTATTTTATGAGTCCTTTTAAAAACATGAATTAAAATTTTTATATCAATGTAAAATTACATTTTTATTAATATGTGAGACTTTCTTTTTAAGTTATAAATTACACTTTTTTTCTTTCCAAAAGCTAATAACAATAACCTTTAAGAGATGGGTCGGTCTAATCCAAAAGAGTTATATTAATCGTGTTTAGGATTAAAAGGTTGAGAAAACTTAATTTTATACTTCAAAAATTTTACTTTATATCTTCACAATTATTCTCTTACCTCAACAATTTTGTAAATATTTCAAATTTATCATTTTAATTTCACTTTAATATTTTAACTTTTACCATCCTTATGAGTCTTTCAACAACGATTTACTTGATATGTGTTTTATTTATGCAGATCCTTTTTCTTGTACATAAATAATCATAATCTCTTTTACTTAGACATACTTGGAATTGCTTCATTGCTAACTTCTGGTGGCAGAGTCTGACCAACAATTTCTAGTGTGGTTTGACGTAGACTTTGAGCTGAAGGCCTCAACATTCAGACGAGTTTCTATACTTAGTAATTGTATATCAGCACCTAGTACCATTCAGAGTTGGTGGTAAAGTTGTGGAATATCCCTACTACTGAAAGCAAGTTGTATTGTCTTATCAGCATGTCAGCTTGAGTCTACAAGATTGCAAGGCTCGAGAAAAGCTAGTACGTTCTACGGATGTATGCTCCCAACGACTCTATTAATGCAGAACCTCTTAAAGACTCAAAGGTTAAACGCGTTACACATTAGATTCAGAATCTATTGTGCATTCATCTTTAATGTCTCTTGTACTTTGGAGAAAAAGCAAATATACTTGATCAAGTCACCTTCTCAACGGCTAGTTTCTGGAAAAGCTATAAATATGGCTGAAGATTCAAGTTTGAATTTTAACAAGGATTATTTTTTTGAAGAAGTAGCAAGATCAAGTAATTATCAACTCTATGTAATATGCATATTTTCTGTTTTAGGTTGTAATTGTAAAAGCCTTAAGATTTCTTACCCCTGTAAATATTTGAAATCTTAAGTGTTGTAGGTCTTTGTTATGGTGATCTCCCTTACCTCTGATGCTTGCATCATGTACACCTTGTTCTCTATTCTGCTGAGCTTTTAATAGTTTAGATTAAGTCTCTTACTATGTGCTAGAGCAAAAAGTATTGTCTCATTGGGATTCAAGCAAGAAGTCTTGAGCCAAGATGCTTAAGCCACATAAGTCTCATTTCTTAAGTGCTTAAGCTGTGAAAGTCTTATTCAGCTAGTCTGATTGAGCAAGTGGGAAAACCTCTGCCTGAGGGGCGAGAGCAAGAAGTCTCGAGTGCAGCTTGAGCAAGAGAAGTCTTAGTCTGGATGGTCATAAGAGCAGGTGGCTCGGCCAGAGGATGTGAGCAAAGGAAGTCTTAGGCATGTGCTTTAAGAAAAGGGAAGTCTCAACCAGAAGACAGATGAGCAGGCGGCTCAATCAGATGGTGTGAGCAAAGGGTAAGTCTTAGACATGTGCTATAAGTAAAGGAAAGTCTCACACAGTTGTTCTGAGTAGTTGTAAAAGTCTTACGCAGAAGCATAAGCGAGTGTAATCATAAAGTGGTTATAATAAAAAATCTCTTGTGAGGCAAGGGGACTGGACTACTCTCAGTTAGGGAGGAACCAGTATAAATCTTTTGTGTCTTTTGCTGTTATTTTATTTACTTCTGTTGTATCTGTTGCCAAACGAATTAACTGAGAATCTGAACATCAGTTCTTATTCTGAAACTCTGATCAGAAGTTAAATAATAAGAAAACGTGAAACACAATTCACCCCCCTTCTTGTGTACTTTTCACACCTTCAGATACATCGTCTATGTTCTATTATAAAACCTATGGTATCAAAAGTTATAGTGTTCTCTTTGTCGTATAATTCATTTATGCTTGGGAGGTTATGTTTAAGATTTTCACAACTAAAACATCATCAATGGTAGTTGTGGAGGGATTTCCAGCAATACCTTCTTCTAATATTTTATCTTGATTGTTATTTTCATAAGTGGCGTAGCCACACTCATTTTCCTTCAAGTCAATCTACAAAGACGTGTCTTCTATCATGTGTCTTGAACATCCACCTTCCAAGAACCATATCATGTTGGTGGTCTTAAGACACTCCAAATAATTTTATTGAGAAAATTTTGATACTCAATTGTGTTTAGTCCTTAAGGGTTGGGTTAGTTCTGGGAACTTTAGACACCTATCTCATAAGCTCTTTAAGAACTTTTACATTCCTAATTTGGCAATGAGGAATAATGTGTACAATCTCACTACAATAATGACAAGTTTCCTTAGAAGAGATATTTTTTAATTCTTCTTAGTGATGTAGGAGTAATTCTTGTATGATTTTTACAATAAGATGCAAAAATGCTAGTTATGGGTTAGATTGATTGTGTGAGTTCTTTAAGATACATATCAAATTAACAATTTGCTACATGGGATTTTTAGTAGGAAAATAAATTAAACTTCTGCCAATTCATATTCTCCAACATGAGTGAGCACTTAATCAAAAATAATCTTGTTTGACTTTATATTATGAAGGATGATTTGTGGCTTACAATCATAATAAAAATACATAGTAGAGGCATCCTGAAGCTGTTCCATCTTTTTGCTAGAACAAAACTGCAATTACATTAGATAATAGTACTTACTATTTAACATTACTTAAACAACCCAATTACAAATCAAGGTGAATCAACTTAATTACCTTGTTTAGTAACCAAAAAAACTTAATTACCTTGTACTATAGGAACAAGTATAAACTCTGAACACAAGATTGGACCATAACCAACAATAGCAACCAATCATACAAGCACACATGCACCAAAACACATACTTCAACCACTACCTATTTCCGCATCCCAAAGCTTAAGTACATAAGTAGCAACTTCATGGTTATTCTATTCCATATAACAGTCCAAAACATCTACTAATCCATTCTTGTTTGTCTCAACCATAACTTCAATTACCTTCAGTCTTGTGTGTTTCCTCCAATGCTACCTTCCCAATTTTGTTTTGTCCTACCAATAACTTTCAGAGGCATTTCATGTAAACTTTTCAAACCTGTTGGGCTTGAATTTTGGTCTTCGGATTTGTACTTATATCGCGAGGCCCAATAAAGGTAGTTGAAAAAATTAAGACAGCTAAGTATAGCTAGGAACCAATAGAACAGGTTCAAGTTATTTTGATTCAAATCAAAACCATGTAACCAACCTTGTTTACTTGGAGTAATCCTTTTGGTAATAGCATTAACCAAATTGACAAAAACACTGCTCAAGAAGTAGCCAATTGACATTGACAACCATGTGAAAGAAGTTGACAATGATTTCATACTTGAAGGTGATTCCCTGTAGAAAAATTCCAAAAGTCCCACAAGTGTAAACATATCTGCAATACCAAATATGCCATATTGGAATGAAAGCCAAAATAGGCTTATGGGGCTACTTGGGTCTTTTCTACTTTGGTCCCTTCTTTTCACTTCTACCATTCCAGCCACTGTCATTGATATAACTGAAAGTACTAATCCAACACCTACCCTTTGGAGCTGTGTGATTCCTGAAGGGTGGTTAGTGATTTTTCTTGCAAATGGAACAAAGAAAAGCTCATAAATTGGAACCAAGATGCTTATGAAAATAAGAGGGATAACAGGAATTGATGATGCTGGAACTGTAAATGAACCAAGTTTAAGGTTCATTATGTTTCCTTGTTGCACTGAGAAAGTTTGAAGCTGTGCTAAACAAGTGTTCATTATGATTGTGCTGGCTACTATTGGTAACATTCTTGTCAGGATTTTCACTTCTTCAATTTGTGTCACTGTGCACACTTTCCATGGTTGTGGTTTCATGTTTTCTTGCAGAATTGCTGCTTTATCTAGAGACCTGATTCAACAAACCATAACTTTTTAATAATTTTTTAACACTCTAAAATCAATTTAAAATGTAAAAGTCATTTCCTAAAATGACTTTTACTATTCATAAAAGTGAGTGCTACTATATACTCTACCAAACAAAAAATAAAGCTAGAAAAGGTACTCTTATGCTATACCCTAAGTTGCATATATTTCAGGTAGAAAAAAAACAAAAAACACAACATTGATTACACCAAGTGTACTACTGTTTTTTATCATCACCTATTGGGTTTGTCAGAAAACTTTTATTACTTTTATCTTATGTTTATCAGTTTATACACGGCATAGATATTTTCTTTTCCTTCTATGATCATTTTCTTCCATATACTCCTGCTCCAAATCGTTTAGATTTGTGATAGTGGGTCCAGTGTCTTTGGCTTTACCTACTCCAATGTACATGAAAAAGAATCCTAACATGCAAATTTGCTGGACCATGAATTTTTTTAAATTGTCTAATCATTTTGCAGACAATTATTATGCAGCTTGAATAAAAATTAATTGATTTAGCATGAATGAAGATTGAAAAAAATCACCTTATTTGGCTTGTGTGAAGAATTCTCTCCACTGTTGCATCTTTGTCACTTATCTCATATAGTTCTTCGTGTGACTCTGGCAGTGACAGCTTTCGGTTTTTAAACGCCACAACAATAACCTGTAGTCAACACAGATAAATTAACGTTAAATATACCTTTAAACATGTTTAATTCAGAGATTAATCATATTAATGTGTTTATGAAGGAAAACCAAACAGAGATTAAGACTAGACCTGAGCAATTCTGATGGTGGGGCTGTCTCCAGGAACTTTGATTCTATAGAAAGGCTTACCAAGAGCAAGTGTGACAAAACCAATAGAAGAAGCTATGGTTATTATGAAAAAACCCCAGTGCCAAGCTCTTTGTGTACTAACCCAAACAACACCAGTAACACCAGAAATTGCTCCAACAGTTGAACTAAGCAAAAGCCAATTGAAATAACTCGCAAGTGCTTTTGCTTCATTAGGATCCTTTTCTTCAAACTGGTCAGCACCAAAAGCAGTCATAGACCCTCTCACTCCACCAATACCCAATGCATACAAACTCAACGACGCATAAAACATAACCCCAATCCCACCTTTCACACAGCTCGATTTCCCACATGCATTTGGATGTAAATGACCTGAAGCAGCTTGAAAAGTAACCATTGCCAAAGCCTACAAAACTCATAGAGTTATTACCACAAATAGTTGGTGTGCAAAGATTTTAAACCATTTCATGTTGTTAACAACTTACCAGAACTTCTAAGGAGCCAAATATCAAACAGGTGGTGAACCTATTCAAATAAGTATCTGATATGAATCCACCAACAAGAGAAAGCAAGAAAGTTGAACCCATGAAGTTTGTAAGAGTATTTGCAGAACTTGATAGATCAAAATGCATCACTCCATAGAAATACAGAACCAAACTAACCATGTTTGCAACAAAACCCATATTATCCAATGCTGACAAAACTACATCAAAAACCAAGAAAATCAACAACAACAAAAAAACATAACCAACCAAGTTTTTTCATTGAAACTTTTCCTCACCAAAAATAAACATGGTAGCTCTGAATCCACCTTTCTTTCTCTTCCATTCAGCAAGAAGCTTGAGTTCTTCAGTTTCCTCTTGATCTACCTGTATAACAAAAAATTTGAATCTCATCATTGTCATCAACATTATGCATAAAAAAAAGTATATAGAAAAATGGTTGATTTGATTTGAATTGAATTGAATTGAATTGAGTCTCACCATTGTTGTAGAATGAAGTTCTAGACAAGAATAGTAAGTGGTGTTTGTGAAATGTGAAGAAATAGCTGAAAATTGTTTGCTACTTATCACACACTAGGTTTCTACTTTTTCAACTTTTCTAACCTTTTTCAAATCCAAAACAGTAAAAAAAATTCAACTTTTAGGGTACAAATTAATGATGATTAATGAATCAATTATGATAATCTTAATCATAATCATAATCAAACCTAACATGGATTATAGTATACCCCACTTTACTTGATGGAGTGTATTTGTTTGTCATCGATGAAGAATCCATTGCAGGAAATTGCATTCAGTGAAGGTAATAGGTCAAATTGAAGGAATTGAAAAGACTGGTTATAGAAATTGGGAAGACTTTTCATTGCTTTTTTGAAAAGTTGCATCAATTTGATTAATTGAACTTATCATACATCAATTCTATCAACTATTCACTTTACTGTTTGTTAGTCATAATTGTTCTCTTAATTATGTCATAACAGCTTATGAAACAAAGTTATTAAATACAACAATGTAATTATAAATATTAGTATTGTATCTGACAATGACGCATCTTATTTCAAAAACATGTAATTAATATGAGTAGTAATTTGATTTCAATAATAAAAATTATGATGATAGATAAGAAAGGGCTAAGGTTGAAAACTTGTTTTTTTGGTTAGACAACATTGTCAGAGTGAAAATATATGATACAGTTTTCTTGCTAAGGAAAAAGAGAAAACATTTGTAGCACAAAAGTTTCCATGCGTAGGAAGGTAACACATAATGTTACTTAATTCTCCAAAGCTGACTTTCCGATCTTCAAGGCTGTAAAAATATGTATAGGAAATTGAAATCCAATGTCAACTACTATTCAAAATTCACCGCATTTAAACCACACTTACACCTAGTAATCAATCTAGGTTATTTATTTATTTATGTGAACCACTTACACATATAAACACTCAATCCTAACACATCGATATTGATGTTTACAGGCAGGGATTTAAATATCATGGGTTACATTTCACATCAATTAAATATTATTTACTAAACTCTTTTAGTATTTAACTATTATAGTTAAAGTAGTTTTATTTTACTAATTCAACAATTTTATTTCTTTAGTCTAAAAATTAACAATTCAACTATTAAAATACTCATAATAAAATATTATTTAAAAATTAATTATTTTACTAATTAATAAATAGTTTATAAAATAGTTTATTAAAATAATATATATTAAATAGTTTATAAACTAGTTCATGAACTATTTATAAAATAAGTGTAGTATTTAGTATATTAAAGTTTATATATTAAATAAGTGCAGTATATTAAATAGTTTATAAAATATTGTTTATAAATTATTTATATATTAAATAGTTTAATAAGTGCAGTGCAGTATTTTATGAACTATTACATAAAATAAATGCAGTATTTATGTAATATATAAGTTTGTTGTACTGAATTAAACAAATGTGTTAAATGGTTTAATAGATATGCACTAGCATGTGAATGTTATGGTTATTGGTTCAACTCTTCAATGATTGATCAAACTACAAAACTAAATCGAATAATTCGATTAAATAACAAAATTATATAGTTATTAGATCGGTTGAATTGAATGACTCTGTCTCTAAAAAAATATCACAACACTTATAAAATTTCAAAATTTTAAAATATTATAATTTCACGAGTTTATTCTTTAAATTCAAATTTTAAATATATATTAATTTCAAATAACAAAATAATAAAAGATATAAATTTAATTTTTTTTAACAACGTTTAATTGCAATATAAGTTGAATAACAAAATAACTGCATCGTCGAATAAGTTTAACTCTAAGGAGGAAAAGTTCCAAATAGGTTTTGAATAAACTCTACTTATATTTTAATTTTATTTTTCAAAAAAAATATATCAAAATGGTGTCGTTTTGTATGAGAGAAAAAACAAGCATTTAATCCGTCGATTTTGCAACCTCACTTGTTCATTGAGTTATACTATTTTTGATCAATTTTCACTGGTTTAATAGCTTACACAATCCAACAATCAGACCATACCAGTGACCCCTTTAGTTCTCGGTTCGATCAGCTGATCTGATCCGATTTTTAAAATACTGAGGTGACTTATATTGTAACACCCTATTTCTCGACTCAATAATTAATAAATAAAATATAATTCTATCTAAGTAGGATGTCACTTTACAATCCAAGAAGTATAAATGTTACTTCATTTAATAAAAAAAGTATAGTCTAAACAACAGAATTAAACAAAAGTATGACATCCATAGCCTCAACAAATCACCCATGCCAAAAGCGATTCAATAATTACTTTAAATTAAAAGATATGTAACAGAATAACATAAAGAAAACAGCTCATTTCCCAGTATTACATATTAGAGCAACTCCACTAGTGGACTCGACCGATAGCCACATGAGATACATCTTCAACTATTCAGGTACTTGATTGTCTGTACCCCGAGGGAGCACAAACACAACAAACACAAAAGGGGTAAGAAATTCATTCATATAATAAACGGTGTATGATAAGAGAGTAACATTTATACACACAAATCACATTCTCACCACAACAAATGCACAAGCATAACATAACCCGACAATATTACACGGTGCATGTGGTACCAATTCTCATCAATGGTTCATCATACGAACCTGATTCCCCCTTCAGAATCCTGAATTCCCCCTTCTGAGTTCCAGATTAGTCTTTCGTCCCCCTTAGGACATATGACTTATCTCCTTCAATATATCAATAATGAAATGCATAACATGGTAATAATGTAATTAACACAATAATTACAATAATATTTAGTAATCCATAATCGATCACACAATTGCAACTATTCTTAACGTAATCCAGCTTTATGGACTACCACCAATATAATCACACATCCTCCCAATCATTCATAAAACATCAAATAATTTTTTAATACGGACCTCGTCAATATTCGTCAGCTCATACACTTATTTTTCACCTGCTACCGACCTCTAATAAAATCGTTAAAAATATTTTATCTCTGAAAAAAAGTTATAGCACTCTGTTTAAGTTACCCAACGCTTCAAAACCCATCCCAAAATGATATACGATTTGAAAGTTATTATCACAACCTTGCATGAAGGCGTTACTAAAAAGTTATTGTTTTTCTAAAATTTCCAGCATGATTTTAATCTTCTTCAACCCAAAAAAGCGTCCATGAAATCATCACCAAAAATATTTTATTCTTGAAAAAATTTATATCCCTCTGTTTCAGCTACCTAACGCTTCAAATCCCATCCCAAAATGATTTAAGAGTTAAGTTATGATCAAAACCGTGCACGAAAGCGTTATTAAAAAGTTGGCGTTTTTCTGAAATTTCCAACACGATTTTCATCTTCTTCAACCTCAAAAACGTCCATGAAACCATCACAAAAAATATTCCATATTTTTAACTCAATCATAAACATACCAATATCAATCACCACTCATATTCGTATAATCACACCAATAAATTCACAATTTTATACCCTATCATCATCATAATCATCATCTCAAACCCTTAACATACAACAAATATAAAATTCAGCAACAATTCAAAAAATTTCATCAACAAATATCAATTGCTATAGTCACAACAATTACAATTCATTCCTCACAATCATGGTCACAAATCAACAACAATCATAACATGGCATACTACCAACCTAAGAGGACAAGGACACCCTTATAGGAATAGTTTCACCCTCTTACCTTAGAATTTTAAGCTTCAAGCTCTTCTACAATGGTGATCTTCTTCTTCTTACCATTGCCTCTTGCTCTAACTTTCCCTTTTCCAATTCTTTCACTTACATTCCCCACTTTTCTCCTCACCTACTTATAAGTAGATAAACTAAATCCCTTATTTTTAATTTATTTTTAAATCTTATTATTACTATAATATTAAATCAAGGCTCTCCTGCTTCCTCATACTCAAGACTCTCCTACTTCCTCAACCATTCAACAGACATACAATACAATTAAATTATTCTATAGAATTAGATAATTTAAATGGGGTGTTACAACTCTCCCTCACTTAGAATATTTCCGTTCTCGAAAATTTACCTAACACAAACAACTTCGAATATACTTCTCGCATCCGACTCTCCTACTCCTAAGTCATATTTTCTCCAACAGTGTAACATCCTAATTATTCCCGCATACTTATAAATAAAAATCAAAGTAATTTTAATCCAACAATAATTAGGATGCTACTTTTATCACCAAATAGCTCGTGTTTAAAGATATGTAACACATATAAAATTTCACAACTTATGATAATAATAACAATAAAGTTTGAACTTTAACTTCTATTTAGCAGCGGAAAAGTATTAACAACTGGTTATTATAATAATTCAAAACATAATCGAATATAAAGTAATCATGAGAAATTATTAAACATCAAAGATCACATCGTAAACTCCACAAAACATAAAGTATACAAATAAGTGTTCCACCCCCAGTGTTACATATCAGAGCAGATACCGACTCAACAAAAGTAATAAGAAGAGCTCTTTCACTCATATTCAAGTCTCTGCAGATTATCTGCACGGTGTCCATGTAAAGGCATTGTGAAGGCAAAGCTTCTCAAGCGATTTTGATGACGACACATTCCACAACATACAAGGATGGTTCAAAGACTATCAAGTAAATCAAGTTTGAAGCAACTCAATTTCATATCATTATGCCAAACCTTGATCAAGAATAGAGACAAGTTCTACATAAAGGAAGGTACAACGTTTAAACTATTATATACCTTAAACAAGTGTTCAACTTCATCTCTCTTTCTTGCATCTCATGATAAAACCTTTTAAAAAATTTCTTTGCACTTCTGCCTCTTTTCAAAACTGCTTTTCTGGAAAATTGAACAGAGTAACCGGTTACTCAAACCTGGTAACCGATTACCCTTTGAAACTTTCAATTTTTTTTAGTCGTTGAGGCTAGTAACCGGTTACCCACTTATGGTAACCGATTACCAC